ATCATTTTCCCGTTTTCCTCTTCAAAAAGACGGTCTGTGGAGACTGTCAAACCGAAGAGCTACTCAATTGAGCCATTTGAGCCATCTGCTTTTAGATGCTGGTTTCAGGCAAAAGTAGAATACAAAGAAATATAAAGCCTAGGCATCAAAGCCCCTGCTGGTCAAATGTACATTAGGATTAAATATAAACACGGTGAAGATATTAGTTCTTTACTTCTTCATGGCTCTGCGTGAACATGAATGTATTTGTTTGATAAATAGGCACGCATCTATGTCAGGAGGCAGGTTCATTTTTCAATCTGTAATGTTGTTTTTTATTTATGTTCACAGAGGCGTGCACCAGCTGAGCAGCTAAGGCAGATAATAAATTATTAGGAATAACAATCAAATCGAGAACTCACAAAACAGCAGGAGGATTTTCAATAAAAATTGAAACATCACTAAAGCAGGGCTACAGGAATAGCATCGATAGAACATTTCGGAAGCAAGAAGGTGGTTTAAGAGATGCAGCGATTGAAAGAAAAGGGACTTTACAAACAAAACATGCAATAAAACGCAATATCTTTAAGAGAAAGATGTGTCAGGTAACTTCCTAACTTGTCTTCTTGCTTAACTGTGCACTGGCAGACACTTTTTCTTTTGGAATGATTACTAGGCACAACTGTCTTTTTTTCACACACGTTTTCTTTCAAGTGATGACATACTAATCTGTAAGTCTTTGGAGTTGACAGTTTATGAGGGATTCTTCCTTAAATCCATTGCAACCAATACAGCTTTGTTTTTTTCTCTTGTTGACGCTCTGTCAGAGAGTCAATGATTGAACCTGGTGGTCATTAGTTAGTTAGGAGTTATAATGGACTGCATCACATTTAAAAGTTGTCAACAATTCAGCTATTCATGAGCTTTCGGACCAAATGTGCAACTATGATGAATTTCATTAACGTAGGATTGGTTTTATTCGTTTTTCTCCTCTTACAGAATGTACTGTTCTGCTTACTGGGGAGTAATATAATTAGAAAGACTGGGCAAACAAAACTGTTTCTAGGAGCTTGACAAAAGGCAAAAATAACACGGCAAACAAATGAATGTACCTCGATTCATTTATTATTTTCAAGCCGAGGGCAGCCGGCAGAGAGTAGTGTAGGAAGCAGGAGACATTTGTTTAATCACAGAATAATGATATTGTGATGGATTCTGACCTTTAGCAAGTGGTATCATGTATGGAGATTTAATTAGCGAGCCAGGCACCAGGCAGGATAGCGGATATGTGGATGGAGTGGGGTGAAGTGGGGGAGAGAGGGTGCTGTCTGGATGTTCTTAATGAATCCACCAGCCTTCCCTTCCTGAGGATGTGGCCTAGACTGACTCATCAGCCGCTGATTATGCCTCGCAATCAGGAGGAGGGATGGAGATAGTCGGCTCAGGAGACAACACCACTCAAAAGGTTGGTCAAACTGAACCAAAATAAGTCAGAAAAGAGGCAATAGCATGAAATATGAGCATGGGTGGGAAGGCAGAGCATGTCCTATTGAAGAGTTTCTTTCAAGTGAACGATGAAACGTGGTAGGGATGAGTGTGTGTGTTGGGGGGGGGGGACTGTGAGAGAGATCAAGGAAAAGACTCGAAGAAACAGCGGCGACCGAGTAGAATAATCGAATTAATTGGAGTGAATTCAGAATGTGAAGTCGATAGCACGTGACAAATGTGGAAGAATAGCCCGTGGCATGTTAGTTAATGACATGTAATTAATGATCATTAGCAGAAGGGATGAGGGGATGGCCGCGGCCTGTCAGGGACTTACAGGCGACCTTGTAATTTTCTCCTCCATGTTTAGAGGGAGGGTGAGGGAAAACACTTCCCACTGTGATCATGGAAAGCTTTGTAAGGAATAATAAAAGGGGAGAGAAGGACACACACACGGATTGAAAGCATAACAGACAATGAAAAGATGGTGCTAACTTTTTTTATAAGAACATGAGGAGGACAGACAAAAAGTGAAAGAAGAGCGACAGAGGCACCGAGCAATGAATCAAGGATGAGAGGAAAGAGAGCAGAGAGGGAATTTATTGCGATCCCACTGTTTTGTTGTTTTCTGCTGACACAGTGAACATGGTGAGAGCAGGCAGCATTTTTCTTTTTATAGGTCACATGCCACTTCACAATGATCTATGGATGCAGGCCCTTTGCAGACTTATACTGTTGAGCACGCATTATGGGGCTCAGCCAAGCGTGGCCATTTGGGGGAGAGAGGAAGCATCCACCCTCACTCACCCTCTCACCATCCATCCTCTCGATTGCTCTCACCCATAACACCACTCTCTACATACTTTTTCTTCTCAACTTCTCCCTCTTTCCATCCATCCCACTCCGACTGAAAGCCTGTTAAAGATGGTGTAGCAGCAAAGGTCTAAGGGGAGTGAGTGTTTATAGTGTCCTTGAACACATCTACCTACTCTGATGATTTCATTGTTTCTCGTCCCAACAACGTTGATACCTCAAAATATATATGTTTAAATCCATTCAGTTGATGGTAGTGAGCTGCTAATATAAAAGTTACAAATTCTTAATCTTCTAAATCTGTACTTTGTACTATACATAATATATCTTATTGTTCTAATATTCTGAACTATAAGTAAACTGTATCTGAAAGAAACATGCCTTCATTTTTCACATACTGTACAGTGTATGTACATACATTAACAATGATAGTTTAACATAGCAATCTTTAAATACAATCTTTAGTCTAAATCCTATCCTTAATCCCTTTTTATTGATTATTTAACATGATGCAAGTGGGATTCCTTAGTTAGTGTTTCTTAGGAGTGCCAGAACCAAACAAGCACTCTTGATTTCACAAAATATCCTGAGAAACCTTGTTTGGTTGTATAAAAAAATAGTGTGTGCATTTGTCCAAGTAAACTGTGTATACATTTCTGCTCTCTACACCAGGGAAGGGAGACACAGAATGGAGAGGAAGTGAACACTGAGCATAAACTACATTTCAGATGATATCAGAGACACTGCGCTTCCAGTGATGCATCAATTACATGCATTAGTGACTGACAACCAACGATTCATAAAACTAGAATTACTGCCTTGTGCTTTTATGTGTCTGCTAACCAGTCCACTTGTAGATTACAACTTTACGAAAATGTAATTACTGCAACATTTGTGTGAAATTGTCATAAGCAGCATAAAGATTGTTGAGTAATGGAGTTTTGTGATGTCACGCTGACCTTGATATTTTGCCACTAAATTTGAATTAATCCCGGAGTCCAATTGGACGTTTGTAACAAGTTTGAAGAAATTCCCTCAAGACATACCTGAGATATTATGTTCAAAAGAATGTGACAATGTAATAAAACATATAAACGCAGGGGATATTATAAAGTCTAACCATCCATCACAGACACATAAAGGATATGAGAGTTGTAAATCTAAACATATTCTCACTGTGAAAACAATCATAGGAAATATATTGCCTTTATTTACATCTACTCATTTACTAATGCTCAAGCAATAGGCCCCTGATCTATGTGTGCATTTGTCCATGACACCTCATTTATAACTGTAGCATCCACTCTAAAGCAACATATAATAATCTACATTTAAATAAATTACCGTATAAATCTTTCATATATAACGTATTTATCGCTATTAATGTCGTTACTTTTTTGAAGAGCCTCTCTCTGGCTTTAAAAGCTCCACCTCCATCTCTGCAGTAGCCATACTTACAAGTGGAGGCAGGCGTGTGTGTATGGGTGTGTGTCACAACTCATCTATCTCCTGCGGACTCCACCGTCACTTGTTCAGCAGGGTCTAATTTATGCGGTGGCGGTGGCGATACTGTGGCGGCGTGGCGAATGCTGAAATGGCATCATTCCTCAGCGCTAACCCCTGTGTGCTCCCTCACACTTCCTCTCCCTGCTGACAGCTACACCCCAAGCATGATTTATCAGGCCCTCAAGCAGCAGACAAAAGCGCCTCGGCACGTGTGCCGTGCCAGAGACGACGAGTAATAGATAAACACTGTGATTTCAGAACCAAACACAAGAGAGGGTCAACTTCATAATGTCTCCAGATAGTGCATGGCTAAGGTCAAAAAATGGCTCAGCCAACCATTTGAATCAATACACATTGAATTGATATATGTGCTGACAAACAGACCACATCAGAGTGCTCTGCTATGTTAAAATAGACACATGTAGATAATCTACACCTCTCTGAACTCAAAATTGGCGGTCGTGGTTCACATAGCATGTTAACTAACAAATGTGCTCTGATCATGGATATCTGGTCTTTCTTGAGGTTGACAGCTTGTATTAATGATGTAATGAGTATAAGAAAAAAACACGCATGAAACTGCTTGGCTGCTTGTGAAGCTGGTCTAAACATGTAACACCCAATTGAACCTTGTTTTTTATGTGCACAAAGTGAGAAAATGAAATGAACTGAATCACTGAATTTGTAATGCTGTTATGGAGAATGGAATTATGGTAATTTGGCTGAGCATTCAGCTGCATTGTTTAAAGAGGGAGCAGATTAGAAGAGGCAGTGGATAGTTAATGTCACATCATAATGGGATGGAGCATGAACCCACCTACGAACAGTGTTCAGGAAGGCCTCCTGCAGTGCACCAAGGCTCATTATATTTACAATAAAGAGCCTTCACAACTGATTATCCTCCAGAAAGACTCACCTATGATCTCCCTCAGAAACTATTCTAACAATAAGAAATCTCCAGTGTTTGTTTTTCTATAGTCTGTTTAAGTGCCCTTCTCTTAAATGGGTTTGATAAACGCTACTTTAAACAGAACTGCTGGACGCCTGCTAACTGACAGATTAGGAACAGTGAGTAATGTATGTGTCTGTAAAGTATGTGTGGAATAAAAAATAACTACCAATCAAGTGTAAATCTCCCAAGTAACATTACATTTGGTGAAGTGTAAATGTGTCTGAAAGTCACAAAATGTGTTTGTGGGCATTGTAGTAGTACTCACCGCACTGCTGCAGGGAATATCTTTGACTTTGAGCCAGGCCAGGTCCAGTGTGCCTTCACCCTTGTAGCACGACTGCAGCCTCTCCTTGATTTTCTCATTGATCTTTCGCAGAGAGAACACACACAGTGCAGAGTCCTGTGACGCCTGACGTGGACGCCTCTTTTGGCCTTTTGAGAAAATGGTGAACAAAACATCATCATCCGGTTCCACATCTAGTGAGCGTGCCAGGGTAGCACCAGCTTTGGAGAGGTAGGCCGCCTCGAGTAATCGGTACTCAACGTTGCCACTAATGCATCCAATAGGGACCTCCACGTAGGAGTTAAAGGCGGTGTCAGCCTTGCAGAGGCGGACTATCTTGGAGGTGTACACCTGTTCCCGACCAGTAGAGGATCCAGTAGTTGGCCCGTTCCCCATTTCCGGCTGCAAAGTCAGGAAGTACACAAAGTTCCCACTGGCAAAGCCATAAATGTAGTATATGTCAAAGTCTGGGATGACAGTGAAGGTGTCTGAAGGGATTTTAATCATAGAGGCCACAAACTCATCGTGGAAGACATAGGCAAACATGCCATCTTCCTCAGAGTTTCTGGCCAACTTGCGGCTAGAGATGGTAGGGAAGTACTCTGGTTTGCCATCCACTGCTGTAGCTATAAAGAGCATGTCTGGAGAGGCATTCCCATATGACACAATGACGCCAAACACAGAGCCACTCTCGTTGACACCAGAGAGGTAGTGCTCCTTCTTGTGGAAGGGCTCACCCAGTTTGAAGAGGTCATCTAGGCGGAGGAGTTTGCAGATGCCCTGGTAGAGGCTGCCACACGCTAGCAGCCGGTTCTCCCGATAGTCCATCAGGAGCATCTTGTTGACATTGTTGGTGAGCGATAACGGCTCACTGCAGGGCTGCACAATACGGGGTGGGTAGCACTTGCGGTTGTCTTCATCTGGACCAGTCTCATGGGACACCTGGACCTCCAGGCTGGGGGACAGTTTGTATATGCGATTAACAGCTCCCAAATAGACATTGCCATTGCGATAGTCCACTGCAATATGGTTGAATTTCCACGCAGGGTTCTCAGCATGAAATGATGCATACTCGTCCTCCTGAAGGGATGCTGTGATCACCTGGGAGCCGGCACTGTGGGCTTGTGCGGCTTGCACCACGGTTTGTGATGTCACAGGAAGCTCCAGACTGGACAGGAAGCAGTATACAAAAAAGCAGGTCCGTGTCCTCGTTAGGGACGTCATGGCTGTTCTCAGGCTGGGAGTGGTGAGGAGAGGGAAGGAGGCACAGTCCAGTGCTGTCGGCCAATCAAGATCAAGCCTCTCTTGAGATTGAGGACATCATGTACCTAAAGAGGGAAGAAAGAAAACCCAGTGAGCAACAGGAACACAAACATGAGCAAAGAATTGCTACACATTCAAGGTAACATTTACATGGTATTGATAGATAAACATTATGCATATGATATGCATTATCTCGCACAGATTATAGCACAGCAATTTAACAAAGAATAATGACGAAAAAGGGCGAAGAGGCCACACACACTTGAGACAAGAAAAATAAATGGGCTTGACAGAAAAATGAATCAGGCTGAGGCACAGTAGAGGTTTAAAAGGCAGTGTAGAGGGAGAGCTTTAGCCAATAGGATGAGTCCATGGATTGAAGAAAAGGACAGAAGAGGAGGAGTAATGCATGGTCTCAGAGGAGGTTATCAGCATGGCTCTGCACCATCTCTCTGCATGGACCCCTACTCCTCTACGCCCCTCTATGCCTTTCTGTTACAGCCGCTATGCACCTAATTGATTCTCCCCTTGGAGTAGCAATTTGCATGCTTTGGCGATTTCTCTCTTCTTTCCCAATAGGGTAGCTCACCTGCTGACACTGCTAGCAGAGAGAAAAGGACTTTCTTTCTTTCTATAACTACACACACACACACACACAAACACTCACACAGAAACATGCACACGCACACAAAGTAGGTGGTTTATGGGCAGAAGAGGAACAATTAGGGAGGAAATGCAAGCGATTGCAGAAATGAGCTTCCCTATAGTCCTTCGTTCATTTGTAAAGTCTCAGCATTAAACGTCCCACCACAGCAGACAGGCACACACACATGTGAAACCATGCCAATTTAGTGAACATTCTGCATGTTGTGGCCAAGTAGAACTGTTCTATCTATACCGTCAAAGCAGCCAGCACACCGCATAAAACACACACCAGCAGAGATTATCAAGGGGACCCTAGAGCATTTCCTGTAAACACAGTGGCCCCCTTGTGTGTCACCTGCTCATTAAGCCCCTCTCCGAAGTCAAACTCCATACCATGAGGATAGGTGTTAACCTGGGTAGTATCCAGATATGAGTTTTACACATGCATGCACACACAAGAATGGAAAACCTGTGCCGACTGCATGTTCTAGCAATGTGTAAAAATAATATACTTAACACATTTTCTTTTCAATTTGAATAAACAACAATGAAATGTTGTATGAGAGGTGCATTTAAAAACTCTGTGTAGATTTGATCAGTAAAAATTACGGTTTTACGGAACAAGGTCCCTGTTGCATTGAACTCCAAGAAAGAAGAGGGCAAAGATATAAAAAAAAAAGATGCACCGTAATTTTCGGACTATAAGGCGCACCTGAATATAAGCCGCAGCAGCTAAATTGAATGATGTGTATAAGCCGCACTGGACTATAAGCCGCAGGTGTTTTAATGTTTAATTACCATATGTAAGGGTTCGTGCACAGAGGGGATTGTCGGGAAAGAGATGGCTGTTTGAGGAAGCTCCCATTTATTAACATTTCCACAAACAAGTTGCATATTTGCATAACGTATTCAAGTGTTACCATTTAGTGCAATAGTAGCTACAGAACATGTACTGTGCTGTGTAAACTGTACTGTATCACATAGCGTTTCAGACACACAAACTTTTCAACTTTCAAACTTAAAACGGTGCGCTCCCAGCGCACGTACCGGCAGTGATCTACAGCAGTGGTTTTCAACCAGTGGTACGGGGACAAACTGTCTCGCTCTCGTAATGTCTGTCTGTCTTGCTCTCGTTCTGTCTCTCGTACCACTCTCGGTTCCACTTTTACTTTTGCGCGCTACCTGTCTCACTCTTTTCCGGCCTCCAGCTTTTCCTGCTGGAGCCCGCCGCTTAAAGGTGGGGGGCGCGGACCGGCCATAGAGCCCATAGAGTTAAAGGTGGTGGACTGTAACCTGTAAAATCCATAGATTTAGGAGGTCCCCTAGTGGCCGTTAGCTGTAAAAATCCATAGATTAGCCGCACCGTTATATAAGCCGCAGCGTCGAAAAATGGGAAAAAAGGCGCGGCTTATAGTCCGAAAATTACGGTAATCATTCATTCATTTAATCGCAATTACGATTTTGGCCTGCCACAATTACGAAAACAACATCATCGAAAAAAAATTAATTTTTAATTTTGCTTTGCTAGTTTGTGACAGTGCACTAGGGGTGCAACAACTAATCGACTTAATCGATTAAAATCGATTACCAAATTAGTTGGCAACTAATTCAGTCGTCGATTCGTTGGTGACGTCATCACATGTGTTCTACACCCCGTTAAGCTCCAACGTTATCGCTCTTTTGTATCGGTACAGGAGACATTTAAAAACATATGTTATGTATTATTGCTACATAAACATTATATCGCAGTCTTAGTGTTGCCAACTCAGTTTCTAATATGCAATATGACTACAAAATGCGTCTATAATGTATTTTCGATCTTCATTAGAAACTGAGTTGGCAACACTAAGACTGCGATATAATGTTTATGTAGCAATNGACTCTTTTCTATTAATAATAACTGCTGAATAAAGTTGTCTGTGAATTTCAGAAGAACACTTTGTTATGGCTGTCCCCCCTGCTAGGTAAATGAGAGGTGGGATCTCCAGTGCTGTTCCCTTTTGTAAGATTAATTTTCAGCTCCCCTTTTTCTTTTTTTTAGCAATATGGCTGCCCTTTCATCCCCCCTAGGGTAGCAGCAGCAGCTTTCACTAGCTCCTTTTTCTAAACCTGTCTCTTTTGCGTGCACTTTCTCTTAGTAGGAGGACCAAATAATAGAAACACTTTTCAGCACAATTGACCTGCTGCACATACCAATTTGGTGAATGTGGTAATGATTATTTGTTTTCTGACTCCAAATGTGTAGATTTGGGGTTTTGGGTTTAGTTTACTTACTGAAACACATTTTTTTGCATGTCAATGATTTTCAAGTGAAGAGTACATTTGATATTAGTGTTTATCCTAAACTCGGTCTCTCCCTTTACGTCATGGTAATGATTGCACTTTGACTTTGACACGCATCGGAGCATAAATGCACACACCTGTCGACGTGTCACCTTTTCTATCTCTGTATCGGTTTTTATCCCTCTCATCATCCTCTCTGGTCCTCTTATCATGTGTGGAGAGGCTGTCTGCTCTTTCTCTCTCTCTCTGCCTGCCAGCAGATGGAGGGGAGATTGGTAAGATTGCAGTGAGGTTGCGTTTGACACCACAACTTGTGATTGCTTGGATATGGACTTGAGATGAGATATGTGGCTGGATAATGTCAGGTAGAACCATCATTTATTGGTGACAGCATATTGATTCCAAATAAATGTATATATGTCTAATTGGAACGTTATGCCAGAATGAATGAAAAACAAAACATAATGTTTGAGCCATAAGCTTTAGCTACGCCATTAAATATCGGAATTAGTCGTATTTCTATATACCGTAATTTTCGGACTATAAGCCGCGCTTTTTTCCCCATTTTTCGACGCTGCGGTTTATATAACGGTGCGGCTAATCTATGGATTTTTACAGCTAACGGCCACCACCTTTAACGCTATGGGCTCTATGGCCGGTCCGCGGACCCCCAACTTTAAGCGGCGGGTTCCAGCAGGAAAAGCTGGAGGCCGGAAAAGAGTGAGACAGGTAGCGCGCAAAAGTAAAAGTGGAACCGAGAGTGGTACGAGAGACAGAACGAGAGCAAGACAGACAGACATTACGAGAGCGAGACAGTTTCTCCCCGTACCACTGGTTGAAAACCGCTGCTGTAGATCACTGCCGGTAGGTGCGCTGGGAGCGCACCGTTTAAGTTTGAAAGTTGAAAAGTTTGTGTGTCTGAAACGCTATGTGATACAGTACAGTTTACACAGCACAGTACATGTTCTGTAGCTACTATTGCACTAAATGGTAACACTTGAATACGTTATGCAAATATGCAACTTGTTTGTGGAAATGTTAATAAATGGGAGTTTCCTCAAA